GAAGGAAGGAAGGAAGGAAGGAAGGAAGGAAGGAAGGAAGGAAGGAAAAAGGGAAGACCAAAAGGAAGAAAAGAAGGAAGGAGAGAAGGAAGGGAGGGCGGAAGGAAGTCTGGTTTAAGAGGAAGAGATGTCTCTGGAAAAACTTCAACCCCTAACCAGGGATGAGCCTGGATTCAAGTTCAAATTTAGCTAATCTCCAGATTGTACATCCAGTTCTGGCCCCCATCTTTCAAAAAGGACTGGGATAAATTGGAACGAGTTCAGAGAAGGGCTCCGAAATGGTGAGTAATCTGGAAATTCTGGAGCCCTGTGTGTTCAAATTCAGGAAGAACTTCCTGAGTGGGTGAACTGTGAGCCAGCAGAACTGGCTGCCACATGAAAGGTGAGCTCCTCCAAAGAGAAGCTGGAGGATGACTTTGATCAGCAATGGTCTGGTGTAGCGTTTTTTAACCTTAACCAACTCTAAAACTGGTAGGCTTCAACTGCCAGAGCTCCCCAGCCAATATGCCACTGTTTCATATTAAAACGCCTTGCCCATATATTTTTTTTCATATTTATTTCAGAGTTATCGAAAGTGTCTTAGTGCAGAGAGAACAAAAAAAGGGCTCGGGAGAAAATATTTACCTTTGAGAAAAGAAGCACTGAGATTTCCAGCCATTAACTCCGCATATATTATGCAAAGAATATCAAGTGGAAACCGAGACAAGCCATTTTGCTTAATTTGGTTTGGCTACGAAAATGGCCCCATTTTTCATTTCTGAAACCAATCAAGGAACAAGGAATTAATCCGGCCTTAATCTGGAGAGGTGCAAACTAGAACTACGAAGGAATTTTCTGGCGGTGAGAACAATCAATTAGTGGGCTTGCCTTCAGAAGTTGCGAAGGCTGCACTGGAAGTTGTTACGAAGAGATTGGACAACACTTGGTCTGAAATGGGATAGGGTTTCCTGCCTCAGCAGGGGGTTGGACTAGAAGATCTCTAAGGTCCCTTCCAAGTATTCTATTCTATTCTGCATTCTATTCTATTCTGTATTCTATTATGCGTTCTACTCTCTATTCTATTCTGTATTCAATTTCCTCTATTCTATTCTATTCTATTCTGCATTCTTTTCTCTATTCTATTCTATTTTGTACTCTATTCTATTCTGTATTATATTCTATTCTGCATTCTATTCTCTATTCTAGTCTATTCTTTCTGTGTTCAGTTTTCTCTAGTCTATTCCATTCTGCATTCTATTCTATTCTAATTTCTATTTCTATTTCTATTCTATTCTAATTACTATTTCTATTCTATTCTAATTTCTATTTCTATTCTATTCTAATTACTATTTCTATTCTATTCTATTCTATTCTATTCTATTCTATTCTATTCTATTCCATTCCATTCTATTGGCCAGGGAAATGCTGTGTTGCCTCTCTGCCAGCTGTCATTCTATCTGTTTTTTCTGTTTAAAAATTCATTATTCCCCACAGAAGGAAGACCTGTTGTACACTTAAATATTTAACTAGATCAGCCTTCACTTTCGTCCATTTCCCCTTCCAACGTAGTTTACTGCACCGATGTGGATGAGACACCTTGTTTTGTGCCCCTAGGAGCCACACAAACTCCAGACGGATGCGGTAAGTTTGCGTCCAGGAGATGTGTGATTTTATTTCCTTCTGTAATTCCAGATTCTTCGAATGAGTGGCGTGATCCCTATATCGGGAAGCCTCTGTTACCGTCTTCTCTCTCTCTCTCTCTCGTGCTCGCTTTAGTTTTCCTCCTCCCTCCTCCTCGTCTTTCCTCGCCTGTCGTGTCTCAGGCTGTTTTAACCAGCCGCCGGCTAAGTAGGGGACGAGGAGCAGGATAAAGAAGGGGTTGCTAACTCGGACACGCACTGCTTCTCAAGCAAGGAGATTCAGTGTTTACGGTCTCCTGGGAAACTGGCAGACACGTGGCCAAGCCTGCTTTTCGCTCCCGAGAGCCCAGCCTTCTGCAGAGGGAAAATCTGGCCTCATTCACGGCCGGTGGCTTCCATTTCTCTTCATGCAAGGACCTCCATCCACGGTTCTTCCTGCCTGCCACGTAGCATGTGAGTCTCATGGCTGTCCTTCAAGGGAAGAAGTAAAGGGTGGGAATTCTTGGGTTAGGAAAGAGACCGGAGTATCAAATTCACACGCACAAATTTAACGTTAGAGAAAGGGGGACCTTGGCTTATCTACAATGGCTGAAATGGTGTCATTATTATTATTATTGTTGTTGTTGTTGTTAATGCAGTCAGCCAAATGTTCAGACCGCGTCTTTTTTGTCTACCCATGGAGTCCTTCCCAAGGACCTGGGATACGGAAATCTGGATGTTTGATGGGGTTACAGATATCGCTGCAGGATGGAGGCTGTTCCGAGTCAATCTGCCTTCTGCAATTGACCGATGGCAAACTTGAGATTCCTGCCTGAGCAGGGGGCTGGACTAGAAGACCTCCAAGGTCCCTTCCAGCTCTCTTCTGAGGGATAGCCCTTCCATGGTTATAAAACCATGTCCACCGTTATCTTTTCTAGAGGTTGATTTCTTCCCGTCCGCTGCTTTGTAGGGCAACAAAGAAAGCCGGTGTGAAGAATGAAGGTCCTTCAACTCTCTGGAGATCCCAAGAGGAAGCCAGAGATTTCTGCCAGGAAGGGGATCGGGAACTGGCCAACGGCAATCTCCCATTGGCCACCACTTACTATGTTGCTGGGTTCCTTCTCTGTGCCCCCACGGCCGTCAACAAGATGGCGGCTCTTGAGAAGGAGGCCCGGGCCAACATGGTCGCCATCTTGGAAAGCTGGTGTCAAGGAGAAAGCTCCATCCCAAAACTTGGGAACCATCCTGTGAACCCTGCCCTGCTCAACGTCGCAACGGCGGCGGCTTTTCTCCTGGCCTTTGACCCCCACAACGTGACTGCCTTGCTCTTCGAGATGGACGCTTTGCTGAAGGCAGGCCAGCCTCTCCGCGTGGCCAGCCAGTGTGACTCCCTGCTCGAGGCCCACCCTTGCACGGAGCTGGTTCTCACCCGCGCTTTGGCCCTGGTGCTGTCCCAAACGCACTTCCGAGAGGGGGTCGCCGAGTATCTCCGGGCCTTTGCGGGAAGCCGGAACGAGACGGTGGGGTTCGTGAGCCGTAGACAGAGGAGATACCTGGAGAAGATCATCCAGGCTTGTTTGGATGGCCTCTCGCTTCCAGACAATGGTCCGAAGGAGACACTTAGCCGGAAAGATCTGTGCTACGACTTCCTGGCTGCCATAGCCCCCGAGGACCTCCGGGTCTGCCCCCTTCTGGTCCGGCATCTTTTCGAGCGACGTATGTACGAGGAATGCGTGTCCCTCTCCAGCAGGGCCTTAGAAGCCTTCTCCTCCAGCGGTTCATCGGGCGGCCAAGAGACCTCAAGTCTTTTGATGCACCGAGCTGCGGCTTTCTTGGCTATCGGACGCCACGTCCCGGAGATGCTGAAGGACCTTGTGGGCGCCTTTGAAGCTTACCCCAAGCTGGCCAAGACCTCCTTTGAAGCCCTCTTCTCTCCACGAGAAGCTGAAAGGGTTGAGGAGCATGCCCGGACAGTCCTGGAGGCGGATTTTGCCGCTTACAAAGACGCCATCCGGGTGAGGAACGAAGTCCGGAGCAACGGTGGCCAAGTGTTGATTCCTCCCGTTCTCCGTACACTCCATTTCCTGGTCCAGATCGCCCCGGAGTCACTGCGAGAACTGAACGTCCATCTAGCCGATTGCTACCTCTTAGAAGGCAACATCTCAGCCTCCTTGGAAGTTTGCGACCGTCTCCTGGCCTCTGCAGAAACCACCTACCGAAACACCCTCCTGGCCCAACGGGGCTTCTGCCACCTTCATGCCAACCGCCGCCCCGAAGCCCTTCAAGATTTCCAAGCCGTCCTTGAAGACCTCGTGCCGCATCCAAGCAGCTGTGTGAAGGCCCTTTGCGGGCGAGGATTGATCCGAGCCTGGGCCGGCCATCCCTATCTCACCGCCTTGGATTACCTGACCGCCTGCAGACTGCGGTTTGAGGAAACCGGCTTTGTGATCAAGGCCTACATCCCTTGGAACCAGAGAGGGTTCCTCTTGGTCACCCTTCAGGAGCAAGTCCAGAAGATGCTGGAAAGAAAGGAGACAGTTCGATGCAAGTCAGAGGACCGATTGGAGAAATCCGGATGGCTGGATGACCTCCAGAAAGACAGGTGAGTCAGCTAACTTGGAAAACCACCAGGAAAACCATCCAAGGGTGATTCATTCCTTTCTTTTATTTTCCTTCTTTCCCCTTCCTTCCTTCCTTCCTTCCTTCCATCCACCTTAACTAAAATAAATCTATCTTTCTTTCTCTTTCTTTCTTTCTTTTTCTTAACACTTCACCTCAACCCAAATAAATCTTCCTTCCTTCCTTCCTTCCTTCCTTCCTTCCTTCCTTCCTTCC